CGAGCGCGGGGGGTAGTCTCGGTCGTGGAAGCAGGGCGCTGCACCTACAGCATCACCAGAGTTCGTTGTCGGCCCTTCACATGACGGCGAATCACACCGGCACCGTCGACAGACGCAGATCCAGCCTCAGGGTAACGTACCATTTAGATTCAGCGAGGATCTGGTCCGCGTACAAGCGCGCCAGGAACTCGATGCCGCTCCCCGCCTCGCCTCTGCACTTCCTTTAACTCTTTCGAACGAGGAGTATCATTAATTTGGCCTAATCGTTACCGAGGTAATCATTTTCAAACGTTGCCTTTTAGGTATGCTCAAATTTCAAAGCTCGACAAATCGAGCTTGCATATCTATGTTTGCTTTCTCTTTCATAAAGATACATAAATTGTTACATTGTATAACTATTATATTATATTATATATTAGATTAAATTATGTGATGCAATTAATTGGACTTAATCGTAATTAATCGTGATTCTTGTAATTTAATTGTTTTTATTTGGCTTGGAAAGAGATAAGGATAGTGCGAGATATGTCTCTTAGAGACTTATCTCTTGGCGAGATGCTTTTTTAAGCCTATGCTTGTTTTTACCATGATCATTGCATTGTAGAAAATTTGATATTTAGAGAAATGATATTTATGTGATATTCTTAATATTTATCTCATTAGAATTACATAAATGAATAAACTTCTTCCTTTCATCCAGTTTCTAAGAGAAGAATTGGGAACGGTATAAAATGTAATCTAATTTGCGTTGCAAAATTAAATAAATGTTAAAGTTATTTAATATTTATTTAGCTATCTCATGCCAATAATATATTAATAATCCATTAAGAAATATCCATTATTATTTTCTGCGGTATTGCTTCCTCGATAATTAATTAGGTAAATTAATATAGGTCATACCGACAATCGATTATACAGCACAGACAAACTCATTGAAAAATGCAAAAACTCATCAGGATTAATTCACTATTTCATTTTAAACGCAATCGCAATTTCTTGTGCAGTCATTTACTCCCGTTTCCACGCACACTTTCATGCATCTCATCTGTGCGACTATTGGCTCTTTATTTTTATTAATTATTGGCACGACTGCATGGCATCGCTTAGTTAAGAAAGCTCGCATAATATTCTGCAGCGAAATATTTCCCCCTGATATTATTAATTCTCGTCGAAAAAGAAACAAACCATTTTGAATTGTGGGTAATAATGGTTTTAAAATTGCTTCAGAGTTTTTCTCAACTTTATTTAAAAAAAAATAAACAGAATAATATATATATTTCTTGCAAATTCACACATAGTAACTAAAATTAATGTACAACAGATTATTTTTTAACTTGTCAAATGAAAAATATATTTTTTATCAATTATATAGAATTCCAATATTATATTTTTCTATGCATTTTATAAAACAGTACGAACAACGAAATAGAATGCTACAATGTGCCCTGTTTATTAAAGTTAATAATATAAGTTTGTTACATGAAAAGAGTTTATAATTATACAGTTGCTAAATGAAAATATATCTTAGTCGATTACTTACTAAAAAAATTTCATAGTCCGCTTGAAGTTTCACGCGACGAGAATCAATAACAGAATTTTCACGCTGTGAGCTATGAGCTCAACCTAATGTTAATCATTGTCCCTGCATCCTGTGGATCGTCGCAGACCTGCAGTCTTCTTTACTTGAAAAAGGTTCGGTATTTATTACATATATATCCATTGTTCTTTATTTAAAGTTCTTTGTATACTGTTCTATATTATAGAACATATATTTATTACAAAGCCTATCGATTTGCTACATCATTGCGGATCGATTAATTGCAGTACGTTTTTGCAAAGTCTCCAATAGTCGACAATCTATGAAGATTAATTACAATAGAATCATCAATAAACAAGCCTAGATAATCTTTTAATATTAATTTAACTAATTTTTTTTGCAGGAGATTTTGTAAAATCGTTTTTACGCGAGGGCACATGAGTAAGCAATTGATCGAAACTAATTTTTAGCACTGTTCCAAACAATTTTGATAATTTCCCAGAAAAATTGAGTATGATGCATTACGATCTCAAACTCTCAAATGATTTATTATTAATCCTCAACTATGAAAGCTACACCTAAGTTGCAATCCCAACGGCACAAAAGTTGCAGCAATATTGCTGTAAGTTTTGTGCTGTTGGGGAAAGCATTTTGTTTGAAATACAAAATGCAAGTACTAAACTCCACTTTACGACGATTAATAAAGAAAGTTTTTTCTATAATTTGGAATCTTATAGTTCCAATCGTACAGATTGTGCACATATTAAATTTTCGTTTCAAGTCCAAATGACTCGTGGCTGTAATTGAGGATTAATTTCGTACATGTGTATCTAATCGCGATCAACAACCAGGTTAATGTTTCGATCGGTCGTAAACTCGTGTCCACATCCTTTCCTAGGAAAATAAAATAGGAAACCATCAGTATATATCGGCAAATGTATCGGCATTGTGGAACGACGAAGCGTTTTTCTCGTGTAAACGTTTCCTCGCTCAGAAAAGAAAATTCTCGATCTCGGCGAAGCGGCAGAGAAACGATAAATTTCTGCTTAACGCGATTAATTGATCAACTCTGTTCGAGGCATCGCTTTGCTGAGATCCATATCTCCAGATTTCTCTGGATCTCGACCTCGATTGCACAGACCTGAAAATGCGAGCAAAGGAGTAATCGAACAAAAGGACTGATTGTACAATAGACTTTGGAATAATTGAATAATTATCGTTGTGTCCGGTCTGTCGAGCGCGAGACACCTGAATGCGCGAATATCGATTCATTGAATCAGCGTCAAATAACCGTTTGCAAGGTAAAAGAGAAAAAGACTGATGGAGTACGAGCCTAAGCCTTGCAGTCGTATTATATTATAATTATAGAAAATGAAACAGATCGCGGAAACACCTCTTTCTTATATTTAATCATCTATTTGTACACCTTGTTTCCGTCTTTATAGTCCAATCAGATTGCCAGACAATCTGCCGCGCTGAGAAAAGGATATATACTTGCGCATGAAACACTGGATTTATGCACAAAAAGGGGTTTTTATTCACAAAATAATGAATATTTAAAATCCGAGTTATATATCGAGAAGCGGAAAACGTTAACGAAAATATTTGTACATTTTATTTCTTTACGTGGAAATATTTTATATTTTTTATAAAGTTGTTAATGAAAGATTTAGCAGATTATTTCAATTATTTTAGTAATTAAATCGCAATTTATCTATCGCCGTTGCGGGAATACATCGCAATTGTTTTTTTTTTTTAGGGTGCGTCCAGATTATCGAGCCGAAACTCGAGTTGAAACTCGAGTATTTCGGTAAACATTTGTTATGCGGCTCGGCAAAAAACAATGAAAGTTATGAGCCGAAATGCTCGTGGCTCGAGTTTCAGCTCGATAATCTGAACACACCCTTATATTCTAATAAATTGAATGAGTAAAATGAAGATATCGGGAAAGAGCTATGTAACTAACTAATAAAATATTCAAGAGATTAATCACTCAATGCAACCGCTGAAATTGTACACATTCCATGATTATACTCTATTCTCAGCGCTAAATGTTCACCGACATACGCGTTATGCCACACTGTAAACACTGTATATAACGAGCATATACGTTAGCCGAACACGTGTCCTCCTCATGTATGTAAGCAGAGTGTCCCGTGTCTTCAGGTACATCTTTATAGCGAGTAGCGATTAAAATTATGCATTATGCAGCTCGAATTACGTAGCAAACGTTCGTATTTATAGCGGGCCATTATTTATGACTGCATATGGGCGCCGTGGCGATCCGCGGCCGCCCATCATAATCGATTGTGTAAATATAAATTGACGATATCAATGTGAAAATTCAGCGTGTGGATTCTTAATCGACCTTATTTCGTCCTTTTGCTAGTTGTCGTGGAGGAGCTCACAGGTATGCGTCATTAATATATATGTACACATTTAAGTACATACATTATTCCGTGTAGTGTCCCTCTCATATACATGTTTCCACTAATCCTACTGATCGTATCACTTGAATTATTAAGACCGACGATCAGGATGGGCCCACCAATACACCTGCTGCAAAATGACGAAATAAAAACGGTGGGCTCTCCTCTTTGTCGTAGCACGTGCACCTCCTCCTATCTATATCAACTGCTTTTAATCATTCTGCAAGAATCACTTTGCTACCCAGCGAATCCTAAATCTCTGTATCATGTTCGTTTATCCTTTCACTCTGAAAGATACAGCGGGTGTCGTAGCGAAATTTAGATAGCGATATTTCACTTTCGCGCGAACATTACAAACGTAATAATAAAAAGTTTTGTTACATTAAATAAATTAAACGATGGTTTACTCAAACCGAAATATTAGTATTATTTTTTCTAATATAAAAAAAAGATCTAACTTTTTCACAGCTTAAGCTGCTATCTAAATTTCTATACTCCGTGGTTTCTTTTTATTCAACTCAGTAACGTCTTCAGCAACGCAAAAATTTAAGTGACTAGTAAAAAACGTTTATAAAAGATCCAATTTTTCGGACGTCTTTTAGAAATTTTCTTTAGAACTTTATTCACTCTTTCATATTATCTAAACTGATTCTGTTAGTACTTGAGCACCTCATCCGGTCGCTCATTTGCTCGTAGCTTCTACCTCTCTGAAAAAGTCGAGATCCACCGTCTAAGCAGATTTTACAAGTCCATAATCCCTCTAATCGAGACCCATCTTTTCGCAGGGATCCCTGAGCAGAGCGTTCGGTCTCCGGCCTAGAAGCGAGAAGGCATCACCGTCATCGTCCTCAGACACCGGGAGTCTCGTCAGCCAATGTCAATACATGAGCAGCAGCGTTCGCAGCAACTCGCCACCACCGCCGCAGCTTCCACCGCGGCCAATGTCAACTGGCAGCGGTAAGCGGCATCGACGGGTGAAAAGCATCGGTGACATCGAGTACATAAGCTCAGCCGCGGTCAGCACCCCGGTCTGACAGGAGGGTAGGCCCCATCACTCGGGGCCTTACCGCAGTCTAAGCGAACGCGGTTACTCCTCTTCTTCGTACTCGTCGTCTCAATACGGCTCGTATTCGGGCTACAGCAACGTCCTGGCAGGCGGCGATCAGTACCAGCCGTATCAGCAGCAGTCAGGTGGCAATTACTATCAGCAATTACAGGGCGGTTACTATTCACCGCAGAGTTCTGGACACCCTTTCCCAGGTGTGCAGAGATACGGTAGTCTGGCTGAAGAGGCATGGTCGTCGTGCTCCACCAAAGGAGACGTTCCGGTGGGAGTCTCGAAGACTAATCATAGGACTTACTTAGCTTAGCTTTCTGTCGCAACATTGAAGACTTTTTAAGCTGATGTTCGTTCAAGATTAACACCATGTGCACAACGGTGCCAATGTTGTATTCTCAGAATTAAAAAGTGTATCTCTTTTTTAGATTGACTTTATATTTTATCTTCTTCGTTACATGCGAACGATAATTCAGTGAATATATTTATGGCAAAAAAAAATCGCAAGAATATCATGTGACGCGCTTATCGGAGCCAGATATTAATCAGTGTGATTTTTCATATTTCAAATGTGGCTCGCTATATCAGACACTGTACCTACATGATTTAAAGAGATTATTATCAACAATTAAGAATATATCGCTAAATCTAAGATCCCAAGCTTCTGATACTTCATGTTTTGACATAAGAATGTTATTGAAGTGACCTGATCGAATTTATAATTAATTTGATAAGAGGATTAATGCGATCCCGATAATCCTTGGATAATCATTATCATTACAGTAAACATGATTACACTTGTTACATAATAACAATAATAGACAATACGTTAGCTGGACAATGGATTATGAAAATACGAACAGTTTCGTGCACGTTACGATACAATTATATCTAAAGTTTTAATGAGTGAGTAAATGTTGATGTCAGTTATTTCAGTTATTCTTAATTACAAGGTAATTATACGTCGTACAAATACAGGCAGCATATCGTGATGTTAAGAGGCATATAAAAGAGTCTGACCAAGTTTTATGAACACATCGACCGATATACATATAGCCAATAGAAATAAATAAAGTATAAAAGAGTATAATTATATATATAATCACAGATAAGATTATAAGCGAACTAATAATGAAAACTTTTAGTTCAATCGATGTGTATACTACGGTGACAATATCTCATACAAACGGTATAATTTTTTATTATTATCATTGCGAACGGCATCCCTCTATCGAGATATAATTATAATTTAAATCGTAAAATCATTCCTGTATGTAAGCTAACACGGAAGAATTGTATCGTGAATATCGTTAAAGAATATTTTAGCTTGTGAATCCTTGTGAACGAATGAATGAAGCTTTAACGACATCAGCTTGCTAAAAGATAATCGCAACGACGTGGTTAATTTTGGTAACCCTCGTGTACGTATGCATATAATACGTATGTTTATTGTACTTTTACGTTATTTTCTATCGATGTGTACGTATGTGTGTGAGTTTCCTACAACCACTCAACGGTGGAAACATTATCAGATAAGCTTGAGGCAACACGTTCACTCCAGCTAAGTGTATTAGATACCGTGAAGCTATAATGAATATTGAACAGAATCGCCTCACGAAGACGCCTAGTCTTCCATTATATATTCCATCATATTCCGCAGCACGGTGAAATTGAATACATTCTGTTCTTCGTTATTCTCAAACCAAAAGGAAGAAATCGGGAAATTCAATTGTTGCTGCGAGACCCTTCTCCATCGCATTGACACACGCGAGAGAATTCTCCAAGTACCTATCTTCAAGCTGCAGTCTATGTATAAAAAGTTTAAAAAGAACTGCTCCCAAGACGATTACGATTATAATTTTTTTATTGCGTATGGTATCTATGGTATAATTAATTAATTATGCGACCATCGCGACGCGCACTTTTACAGAAAAGAAACATAAACAAGGCGAGCCACATGATTTAATCTAAGTGCCAGAAAGATTGAATATGCATCGTAATTTGGCACACTGCCGAAATGTACGTTCGGCCCTGTATCATTATATTAATACGTACAATCTCCCCAGTGTTCGTATATTACATTCGCGCGGTCGCAAGGAAGAAGAAAGACGATATTTTGCAGATAATGCACATATTTAACGTGATATTTATTCATAGATTGTAATTATTTCTTGATATTTATGCGTGTTCGACAACCGCGTGTTCGATCGTCGAACTATTTAATTCTACGTCAATCGGAAAACGATCAGGACCACGATATAATATTATTTTATTGCCGGACTAGTATTACCGTCGTTTTGCGAGGTGAAAACGGCGAATTAATACGTTAATTATCGTGACATTCATGTACCTAAGTAATTTATTTATATAAATTCAATTAGGTCTTTAATTTATTTGTATACAATATTATTGCGCAACGCGGCCAATACCTCGCTTGAACGCGACAGATCGACGTGTTCGCTTATTGTATATTGGTCGCAGCATGCGCGATCACACATATTTCGATACAAACCGTTGTAAATGTGCTCAGTAACGTCTGTATATATTTGTGTGTACTGTATCTAAACACGGAAAAGAAATTAAATAAATGATTGCCTTTACTTCTACGCGATAGATCCTTCCGCGAAATAATCATATTCATCAGTATATCTAATATACATTATTATTTTTTTATTTATACAAAATCCATTATATAACATTGCGATGCAAATGAAACATATTCTTTGACAGCATCCTAATATATTTATAATGTAATATATGAACATAATAAATATATAAACAATTATAAGTCGAAATATATAACTATAACTCTCTCAACCCTCGGATACAGCAATAGATCATTAAAACCCGTAACAAAAATTTTAGACAGTTCAATCAGTATATGACTGTTACTATAAAGTTCTATATAATAAGCATATAAAAAGACGTTGAACCTTCTATCAATCGCTGTAAGACGGAGGGTCATTTACATTCTGCACAAACAGGATGCTTTAGATTCTTTAGAATTTAGATGCAGTTTTCATAGCTGTAGTTGGAGGTTATAAATATAAGTATGAGTCTACGTTTTTTAAATAAAATTTTACAATTTTTTCAAAATATACAAATGAATTATAAGATTAAAACATTAATTTAAACATGTCGCCTTATACTTCGAAATATGATGTACAATATTCTCCCATGTGATTTAAAACATTATAATAATATCTCATAATTTAAATGTTCCATCAAGTAGAATGCCTTGGAATTATATTTTTTTATTGTTTTCTCATCAACATTTATACACTTCTTGTCAATATTTTAAGAATTAATTGGTGTTTTTATAATTGAGGATGTCTAAACAAAATAAATAAATTTTTTAATATTTATTGAATAACATAAAGAAAAAAGATGTAGAGAGAGAGAGAGAGAGAGAGAGAGAGAGAGAGAGAGACAGCAAACATAACATAAAAATTAAATTATAAAACTTACAGTTTCCATTTTTCTAATTTTAGTAGTACTATCCGAAATAACAGCTCTATCCCAAGATCTTTTTATATTGGAATTATGTCCTTTTGTTACTCGATCTGTACTTGGTATTATATTAAAATTGATATTTCTGACGACATGAAATAGCAATGTACTGGGAGGTGTAAACAAATTATTTTTCGAAATTCCACAAGAACTTTTTGCAATTTTATTTACACTCGGACTTCTTTCAAGTGATTTTGTCTCTAAAATCTTATTGGAGAACAATTTTTTAACAGATTGACTTACTTTCATTGCTATAAGTGAGGTATTCGATCGATTTGAAACGTTTGATTTCGTATCGACAGGAAATGGTGTCGATGTATATATATAATTCGTAGATACTTTAGAACATGTTTTATTACGCGATACGTTAGAGCTTCTTCCAGAAACATTTACATCTTTTTTATTACTACTAATATAAGGCGTAATACATTTGTTATTCATATTTATCATTTCCTGTGAATTTTTCTCATTATCTTGAATTTGTGTTATCCCTTTCAGCAAGTTTTGATTTACCGGTATGATTTTCTTTTTACTAACTGTCTTTTTCTTAATTCCAGTAGATTTTACAAAAAGCGACTGATCCCTTTGCCAACATTTAGCACGAAGTTCCTCCAATTTTGCAAATCGCGAATCGCAATCCTTTATTTGTAGGTTCATCGTGTCCCAAAATCCATGTAAATCCATACAAGTTACCAGCATGTTACCGTCTTTTCTCTCGCAATCTAGTATTAAATCATAAAATTGTTTAAACTTATGTTTAATTAACATAGTTGTTTGTCCTACTGCTTGATTAATTCGGTAACAACTATCCTCTACATCATCCGTTTGTGATTGAATTTCCGTCCATTTCTCGCAAAGTTTTTGAAGCCTATTTTCTTCTTCATACAACAGACGTTTAAAATATGTAACGTTATATTTCGTTTCTTTTACTGGCACATCAGAATTGTTTGTTGTATCAGCTCTTACTGCAAGTTGTATATCGAATAGTTCTGACGAACCTGGAAGCTGATAATAAAACTCAAAATTTCCTCGTTTATTTCATTTGATATTATTTATAAATATATACAACAATAAAAATATTTACATTAACGAAAAAAGAAAATTGCTTGAAAAATCTATCTTTTCTGAAATATTTAATTAATACTGATAATATAAGAGCGTAGCAGTGCGACATAGTGGACAGAGCGAGCCGACTATGTTAAGGGACTCGGTTTCGATCAAGAAACCTTTAAACGCTCGTTGCTTCTCTTTGATGGTCTGGCAAATCACCAGGAATATCTATTGTCAAGAAAACCTTTCGAACTTGCCGTTCGGAACCGGCGTTAAATTGTAGATAGTATGTCTGCGTACAACTTGCGTGCGTACCGCGGACATATGTACATACGTACAAAAGGTGGATGCTAGCTGTTCCGACTTTGGGATGTTAAGGCCATGGCACACACCTTTCATAACAGTAATCATAAGACGTACCGTAAGAATCAGCTAATTAAAATTAAGAATTCAAAAGAATTCTCGACCGATTGGCTGATTCTTAGGCGTTGTCTACAATATGCGAAGTAAGTTTGGTTTAAGAAGTAAGAGTAAGATATTGATCAATCAGAGTCGATTATTCTTTTCACAATCGACTGTGATTGGTGAATTTCTTACTCTTACTTCTTAAACCAAGCTTACTTCACATATTGTAGACGACACCTAAGAAATTGATCAATCAGTTGATTATTCTTTTCACAATCGACTGTGATTGGTGAATTTCTTACTCTTACTTCTTAAACCAAGCTTACTACGTGTATTGTAGACGGGCCATTATGCGTCGTCTATAATATGCGAAGTAAGCTTGGTTTAAAAAGTAAAAGTAATAAATTGACCAATCACCAAGCTTACTACGTGTATTGTAGACGGGCCATTATGCGTCGTCTATAATTTACTTTTTAAACCAAGCTTACTTCGCATATTATAGACGACGCATAATGGCCCGTCTACAATATACGTATTAAAGCCGGCGGCACACGATGCTTGTTTTCCTGCTGGATTCCTAGCTGGATTAGAATCTTGCCATCGTATTGGCTGCGGTACTGACAGTGTCAACATCGTAGCCAATATGGTAGCAAGAATTTATTCTAGCAATCCAGCAAAAAAACAAACATCGTGTGCCGCCGGCTTTAATACGTATATTGTAGACGGGTCTTTACGGAAGGTGCATGTGTGCCATGGCCTTTACGTCATCGAATGAATGAATTGATAACATAAAAAACATGATAACAGAAGAAATAAACAAGATAATTCTAATTTTTACCTTATGTGCAGAAAGTCCTAAAGGTGAAATTTCATCATTGTTGTTCAATCTCAAAATTGTTTGCATTTTTTGCGATAAATCTGAAGTTTCCGATTTAATTGGTGATAACATCAACGTGATCGATTCTATAGAACCAAAATTATGAGAAGCTAATTTCTTGTCAGTTGCTTCCATTGAAATATCAGATGCAAAAGCATTATTTTTCTTTAAGGAATTGCTTTCTGTAAGTGTTTTTTCAAGTAAAGATATTCTGAATATTGGTAATTCAGCGGGCGGATTAAATTTATAATCAGAAGGAGCAAACGATTTGGTGACTTCGATTTCGTTATCCGATTTCGTAGAAGACTTTGTCCTGGTCGGAGTTGTAGGCGATTTTTGTTTCATTTCAGCTTTTGCTGCCATTTTAGCTTGTATCCGCTTCTCCGTAGCTTTTGTAATTCCCTTTATAACATTGGAGTTTTTATGCTCTTGAGTAACTGATTTCTTCTTTCTCCTAGATGTCATTGAGTTTGTTGATATCGGAGAATAAATATGATGACGAACGATTCCAACTATAAACGGAGGCTTTTTATTTGATTTCTTTGCTTTCTCTTTTCTCATCCGCTTCTCTTTCCAATCTGCTACCTTTGTTCTAATTTCATCTGAGATATCAAATATTTCGAAATGACGAAATTTTTTATTCAATGAAATAATTTTTACAAATATATGTATGATAAGCTGTTTTACTTTTTAATAAATAAAGAAAATTTTGTCTAGTGTAAAACTCTTAAAAACTAATTATTTAAAAAAGAATTACGACTCTTATTAATAAATTAAAATTATGTCGTGACATATTATAATGATTCTATGGATTAATTATAATTATATGTATGTCGAAAATTTTAAATAATTCCGTGTTTCTATTCCCAGACAGCACAGAATATTTATGATAAATATTTATTAATATTCATTTTCTGAAATATTATATAGATATTTCATACATATTTTATATATAAAGCTTTATTCGAAATATTATTAAAATATAGACTAAATATTTTATGCAATATTTTAATATAATACGTCCGAAATTCGCTGTAAGATACATTGGAATTGGCAAGTTTTTGAAATATATACACTATATAAGAAAGAAAAATTGTTCACATTTGACTTAATTTGAATTAATTTAATTCGTTTTTATTTCTTTCGATAAAAAATATATATTTAAGTCAAATATAATATAATATGAACATATATTCTTCAACGAAAGAAATAAATATGTACTATTAAATTAATTTAATCAAGTGAATCATGTTTTCTCAGATACTGGCGTATAACGCGAGCAATTACATAATAATCTCGGGGCACCTTTTTGCGATGTCACTGAACAGGGTGAGGCAATGATTCGATTTTTCTCAAATTCGTTTATTCGACGTTTCTTGCGTTTTTCACATTGTTCTTGACCAAGGCTCAGTCTAATTTTTTCTACAGCTCCAAAATTAGATGGTGGCTTCTTATAACGTACAATGTTATTTTTAATGTTCTTATTTTTTAATTGTACTACTTTCGACTTCATCATGATTCCTCGAATTACAGTTTAGATACGACACTTTTCACCTCTACGAACAGTATGTTTGAATTTCATTTGAAATGTGTGGGCAAAGATGGTTGGCAGTGTTGCCAACCGAGATACGGTGGAATTGTCATATTCCAAACGAAATGGACATTTCTTGAATGGATCCATCTTTTTTTTCCTTCCAAAATTTAGATACATATTTACTTTATTTCAAACATAGAGAATAACAGTGTAAATGAAGAAGAAATCTGAAGATGACAGAAATAAATAAAATAAAGGAAGACCCGTTTTTATTATTCAAATTCTTTTGAACACTGCGATCAACTGTAGTCGAACGCGATTGGTTCGTATCTGTAGATTCAACCGATTGGTTTCGAACACTATCCAAAAGACGCTCAACCATTGGATTGCGAGTATGTCAAATTTGATGATCGAACGCTCAGTAATTAAAAGCGAACTTTTTGCATAATTGCTGCACGATAATGCAAATATAATTTTTCAACGATCCAGGAGCAATATTGGGAGAAAACTATCTCTTAAATAATTATTTCATCGTCCATTATGAAGAGATAAACTCCTTATCTTTCTCTCTGTTAACCTAACATCTCGCGTACATCTTGCAATCGATATCTCTCTGCTTGCATCACAATTGAGCCAACTGAGGAGGTCGTCGGTTAGGTCGAGTCTCATTCCTCGTCAAACGTTTCGTGCAAACTGTCACGCGTCACGTTAGGTGAGCATATTCGGAGCAACGTCTAGCGTGTCAGAGAAATTGCAGTTTATCCTTGCGGATTGAAATAGCGTTTTCGCGAAATTCATTCATGTCTTTCCTTGCACGACCGAACACTTTCAGGAAATGGTGGTACATGCCGGTTACATCGTCTCGTATCGGAACTTCATTAGCATAAGGTCGTTAATAAATCGTGATTTCGCTAATATCGTGATTTTTTGACGTGTAATTATTTTTAATATAAATCAGACATTTCTCGTTTAGATATCGGTTTTCTTCGATATTGAACAGATCGTGGAATGACCTTCACAAGGTCGATATGCGACTTGACAATTATCCGTGATTTATTGACATTTAGCGTTTATATTGGCAATTCAATGTTATAATTTTTAGATTTTCGTAAGATCCACAATTTTATGTAATTGTTTTCTAAATTATACTATAATTTAATGTCAGCTCCTGTATCGTACACTTTGCTGCAATATTCTTGATAGTTGTTTTTCTTCATTTAAAAATTGTGATCGCTTATTTAATTTCGCTTGAATTTATTATATCTTTTTATCATAACAGTTGCTATAATTTGTAAGTAATATCAAACAATTGATCGTATTACATCCAGAAATTATTGGATAATTGTAAATTAAAAAGATTATATCTTTAGCAAAAACACTTTGAACAAACAGCAGTAGTATAGCAAAATTATTATAAGCATATCTTAGAATAATTTTGTAATACAAAGATTCTAATGCAAGAAATAGAAATGGATCTTTACAAATGATTTTTATTTTTAAAAAACCGACACGTTTTATGATTTTTTTGCATTGTTTCATATTTTAGTTCTCTAATCTCAACAAGACTCTTTACATCAGCAAGCAATTGTGTCAAAATGCCTATTAAAAGCATCAAGGCTCGTCAAATCTATGACTCCCGTGGAAACCCCACAGTAGAGGTAATTTATTGAATCTTGAAAATGTAATGTTTTATTGAATATTCTTTTATTAATATTATTTGCTTTTATAGGTCGATCTTGTCACCGAACTTGGACTCTTCCGTGCAGCAGTACCATCTGGTGCCTCTACTGGTGTTCACGAAGCCTTGGAACTGAGGGATAATGATAAATCGAAATATCATGGAAAGTCTGTTTTTAAGGCTATAGAAAACGTAAATTCCATCATTGCTCCTGAATTATTGAAGGTATTCCTATATGTCTGATATGATACAAATATCGAATATTTATTACATAATATTTGAAAGTTGAAAACTTGAAAACATTTGACAAATGTGATATTATTCTCAAGGCCAACATAGAAGTTACACAGCAAACAGATATCGATAATTTCATGCTGAAGCTGGATGGCACACCAAATAAGTCCAAACTTGGAGCGAATGCAATTTTAGGTGTCTCTTTAGCAGTTTGCAAGGCTGGTGCTCAGAAAAAGGGCTTGCCTTTGTATAAGTAAATATATCTCATACAAATCAATCATTTTTACATAAAAAGGAAATTATTTTATATAAATTATAAAGAAATTAAAATATTGTATACAATGGACTTTTTTAAGTAGATTTTTATTTTTTTAAAAAGGTTTTTTATTTTTCCGAAACGTTATATGTAATTTTAAAGTAATCGTAAGTAATCTTTAGTAAAAAAAAAAAAAAAAAAAAAAAAATATTTTTATGTAATATTTTATAAAAATTTTAACATACTTAAAAAAAGATCTACAAAATGCACACTTTTATGCTTCGAGATAAAACTGCTCTTTCTTGAAGTAAAATTATTTTTCTACATAGTTTTTTTGTAAAGATAAAACATCTAAATTTAAAATATTCATATTACAGGCATATTGCTGAGTTGGCTGGTAATAATGACATAATCTTGCCGGTACCAGCATTCAATGTTATTAACGGAGGTTCTCATGCTGGAAACAAGCTAGCTATGCAAGAGTTTATGATCTTGCCTACTGGCGCATCTAACTTCACAGAAGCGATGAAAATGGGCAGTGAAGTCTATCATCACTTGAAGGCAGGTATCAAGAAGAAGTTCGGCCTCGATGCCACGGCGGTCGGTGACGAGGGTGGTTTTGCACCAAACATTTTGGAAAACAAAGAAGCTCTTAATTTGATCATAAATGCTATTAAGGTAAACTGTGAGATTTATAATTCGAATGCATTTGTTATTTTATGATAATCGACAGCTTGCAATAATTTTGTTCTGAATGTATAGACCGCTGGTTATGAAGGAAAGATCAAAATTGGCATGGACGTTGCCGCTTCTGAATTCCACAAAAATGGAAAGTACGACTTGGATTTCAAGAATGAGAAGTCTGATCCAAGCACATACCTGGAACCAGAAGCGCTAAAGAATTTGTACTTGGAATTTGTCAAAGAATTCCCGATTGTATCGATTGAAGATCCTTTTGATCAGGATGGCTGGGATTCTTGGACGTCTATGACCGCGGCTACTCCTATTCAAATTGTCGGTGACGATCTTACCGTCACAAATCCCGAGAGGTAACAAATAAAATAAAAGCTTTATCTGCTGTTACCATTTTAAATTAAACTTGCTCGTGTAAAAAGTTAAATTAAACTTTCTTGTATGTTTATTGTATGCTGTTACTTTACAGAATTAAGACGGCTATTGAGAAGAAAGCTTGCAACTGTCTATTATTAAAAGTCAATCAAATTGGTAGTGTGACCGAATCCATCAATGCTCATAATCTCGCCAAGAGTAACGGTTGGGGTACTATGGTCTCTCATCGTTCTGGAGAAACGGAGGATACATTTATTGCCGACTTGGTCGTTGGTCTTTCGACTGGCCAAATTAAGACGGGCGCACCCTGCCGTTCGGAACGTTTGGCCAAGTATAATCAGATCTTACGTATCGAGGAGGAGCTTGGAGCAGACGCGAAATACGCTGGAGAGAAATTCCGCAAACCTCACGCCTAAAGATAACTATCATAGTCCATTATCGCACAATTTTAACAGTCCGTAATGTTATGTCAATCAGTTATTCATTTTGTAATCATTCTAGGTACAGTGTATTTTGAAGACATATCTTTCTTAATCCAGATAAACAATTCATGATATACATCATGCACAATAATAGAGATTATGTCAAATATGATACAGTTGTCACGTTAGGAATCCATAGAAAGGAGATTTATTCTATAGAGAACGAAAAAAGATTTAAAGTTGACAATATTATAGTTCTCCTTTTTTGTTTTATTAATTTATTAAGCCATTAATAATTTTCATTTTTATTTTTACGAGATATAAATGTTATAAAAAATTAATAATGTCAACTATATATTTAAAACTCTGTAAACAATATATCGAAGAGGGATATATCGAAACATGAATATATTAAAGAAATACATTAATAAACATAAAAAGATGTTATATAACGATTATAGATATCTCTATATATGTAACATATAAAAAAAGAAAAACATATGAAAATCTATAGATTGTAATAAACATTGTTCCCGAAATCATATCTGTAAAAATAAACGTAAAAGAAGTTCAAATAAAATTTAATTCGGACTAAAATGGATTAAATTATACAAGATCTTTTACCATCCCCGCCAATTATATTCGATATTCTTTGCATTTTATACTTCTTAATTTATTATTTTATACAGAATATAATTTAATATCATAATAAAATACAATATAAAATTATAAAATACAATATAATAAAACGTACAATGTATACATAAATAAGATAGAAATATAATATATTACAATACAAAATATAGTAAGTTTTACATATATATATATATAGATATAAATATGTAGCTTATAAAATATTTTATTAAAAGAGAATGATGATGTGTAATAACAAAATTCATCATTTTTTACAAGGTATATACAACTATCATTAAACAATTACAAATTTTTTACACGATAATGTAATCAAAAAGATGATTAAAAATTTATCGATTTTGTCTTTTAATACAAAACAGTATTGTGATTGCTAACCTCTTGCAAAATTATCAAAAAACAATTAACGCGTAAAAAGATACGCGAATATAGTAATGATAAAACAATAAGTCGGTATATATATTATCTATCGCTTCTTATTTTTTAAAGAAATACATTTATTTTATTAAATAATTACAATGGAATAAAAAAATTTTCTATCAAAAGTTTTGTTTTATTCAAATTTTAATCATAAAATTTAAATAAAATCTTTTAACTTATAAATCTAACCGCACATATTCCCGCACGTGATATTCTTAGATATCTCAAAATAGTAAAAATATATACAATTACA